CATCGTCTCCAACAAATTCAAAGCTTTCTGCCATTGCCCGCCCTTCTCACAGGCACTGATGACCGCATTGTAGCTGATGACATCCGGCTGAACGTTTTCCTTGGGCATGGCCTCAAACAACTTGACTGATTGCTTCCATTGCCCGCCCTTCTCGCAGGCACTGATGGCCGCATTGTAGCAAACCAGCTCAGGCTGAACTTTCGACCTGGGCATGGCCTCAAACAAATGCAAAGCTTGCTGCCATTGCTCGCCCTTCTCACAAGCACTGATGGCAGCACTGTAGCTGATCACCGATGGTTGAACTCTTGCCATGGGCATAATCTGAAGCAACTTCAATCCTTGCTGCCATTGCCTGCCCTTCTCACAGGCACTGATGGCCGCACTGTAGCTGAATATGTTGGGCTGAATTGATGCGTTGGGCATGGCCTCAAACAGTTTCAAGGCTTGCTGCCACTGCCCACCCTTCTCACATGCACTGATGGCCGCACTGTAGCTGACTATGTTTGGCTGAACTGTTGCCTTTGGCATGACCTCAAACAAGGTCAATGCTTGCTGCCATTGCCCGCCCTTCTCGCAGGCACTGATGGCCGCACTGTAGGTGATGACTGACGGATGAACTATTTCCTTAGGCATATCCACCAACAGCTTCAATGCTTGCCACCATTGCCCGCCCTTCTCACAGGCACTGATGGATGCATTGTAGCTGATAACATCTGGCTGAACTGTCGCTTTGGGCATTGCCTGAAACAACCTCAATGCATGCCGCCATTGCCCGCCCTTCTCACAGGCACTGATGGCCGCACTGTAGCTAATGACATCTGGCTGAATTTTTGACTTCGGCATGGTCTCAAACAACTTCAATGCTTCCTGCCACTGTTTGGCTTTTGCACAAGTTGATATGCCGACTACATAATTGGACACTTCTAGCTTCAGGCTGCTATGTGTCCGGATGGCCTCCAAGACAGTATACACCAGTTGCGCCTCCTGTTTCTCGGACAGTATCCTCAGAATCTGTCGAAGGATCGACCTCTGGGAGTTCCTCACCTCTGGGAACATAATCTGTTCGAGAAAGTACTCGAGGTTTCCTTGGTCTTACCGCTGGGAACATCAAAACACATCAAAGATCATCAAAGAGTCCAATCAGCGGGGAGCCACTTCCATACAAACATGTTCCCTATGTTTCGAAGACCATCAAAAGAATGGTTGACCTGGTTTGTAGTGTAAAATCCTTAGTTGTTGTTTGGCAAAGGCTATTGAATCAATGGTGGCTGTTCCTTTAAGTGGGCGTTCATCTTATTCCATAGATCTGTTGCATGTAGCATTGCACCTCAAAGAGTCAACAGGGGTGCGAATTGAATCCCATACAGGTGCATGTCCAATCAGTGAAGATCTAAGTTTCTACACGGTGCACGACCCCTATTGCGCCGTGGCGCAAAATGAGCACTGTCTTGGGCAAAAATGTTAATGGCGCCGGGGCGCCGTGCACATTTTCCAAAATCTGCCTTGAAATTTTACGTATTGGAAAATAGCAAAACTAAAACTTGCTTTTGGATGGTAAGTATCTAATGTAATTGTGTACTTAGAAGCGAACGTTAACATCCCCCCCACCCCGCCCCATCCCACCCCACTCAAAGTCAGTCGCACAGTGTAGCGTAGCAGAGAAGAGTTTCTAATGTATAGTTGTGCACTCTGAAGCGAACGTTAAGACCCGCGCACATCCTAACCCACCGCACCCCACCCCACTCAAAGTCAGTCGCATAGTGTAGCGCAGCGTAGAAGAGTATCTACTGTATGGGTGTGCACTGAGGCAGCATGCAAGAAAAGACTGTGAAAACAGCAAAAAACACCTGTCCTTCTTCACTACATGCGACAAAAAAACAAACATGAATTTCGATGAACATCGCTAAAAAGAACACACACTCAGCGTGACAGCGGTCGTGGTCCAACCTTCACTCCATGAAACAATCTACAAAGAAAGGGCCAGGAGTGGTTGACCGTCAATGGACCGTCGCCAATCTCATTGGTCTGGGCTACACTGCCTCTGAGAGAATCATTTCCAGCGGATGGCACGGCGCCGCTTGGATGACCAGCTTGTGGGGTCAAGGACCGACCCATGGTGAGACCGCAGGGAGTGTACCATCAGTATTTGTTCCCCAAGGGGTGGTGAGACCGCAGGGCCGCGCAGGGCCGCGCAGGGCCGCGCAGGGCCGCAGCTTCAATTGACCTACAGGGCCGCATGGCTCATTTGGGTACCAGTAGTTCAAAGTCAAGATCAACAGCATCGGCTCGCGTGAAACTCGACTCCCTGAAAGGAGGAAACGGCCACTGAATGCAGTTGAATTCTCAAGGCACTGCATCATGCCCTGCATGTGATGCAAACATAGGATGAACAATAGACCTCCCCTAGTTAATCCGACCACACAGCCCGGAAATTCACCCAACAGTGCTTTAGTTTTTTGATTAACTAAGGAAAGTTTATTGATTTAATTTACCGTATTACCGTATTAAATATTCATCAACTAGCCTGCTCATGCCTTGGTTCCTATGAACCCATTGCTTCCTATATCTATACCCTGGCCTCATGCTCATCCGCTCATCCCCTCTCAAACCTTCATGGTCTCATAGCATCTCATTGCATCTCATTGCAGATTCTTCAGGGGGAGTGGACCTCATGAATGGTACCTTGGACCTTCTGGACCTTGTTGAGCTTATATGTGGTGGGGCGGTTTATTCGTCCGGTCTGTGCATTACACATGCATGACTGGACTCCAATGCCAGGCCGCTCACCAAACCCTAGAATTAGGCCGGTACCAAGGCACTTAGATGGAATTGGCTGCATCAAAAAGGTCACAACAAAAGGGGTGGGTGTTCTCCATCGATCTCCAAAAATCGCTACCCCAAGCACACTGTGGTGCCATAGGGGGAAGGGGGCAACCGAACACCTGCACACCTTCATCCGGGTGTCTGGAGCCACCGGCCGTTCCGTGTCCATCGCAGAGCTTCTGCAACTCATCTCGAAGATCCGAAGTGAGAACCGGACGGCACGGGGAGGTTCGGGACCTGAGAATGCCAGACTTGGGATCGGCCGGCCGTCTGAAGCAAGGCTTTGGATGTTAAAATAAACACACCAAACAGTTAGAGGAAAGGCAGTGTGGGGGTTCTGCAGGAATTTCCGTAACCAAATGCTTGACATCTAGTACTACATTTTCAGAGGGTAGCCGGACTTCAAAGAAGGACTCAAGTCGACTGTGGACTTTTGTAGTTTCAAAGACTCCGTGCTTCGATCCCAAAGGGAACCGAGACTGTTCGACCGTTGTTGTTGGTGGCCAAGCTTAAGCTGTCCGGCAACAACGGGGGGTCCCTTCACGACTCCTTGATCCCTATTGGGTTGTGACACATGTTTCCCTCCAAGTATACTTAACCCCAACAACCTCTGACCGGGTCCAGTTGACCAGTTTTGGCCCACTAACTCGGGATGAAAGCTGAACATCAGCTTGGTCGGCCTGACTAGGAGTTTCCTCCGTTTTTGTCCCACCTTTCTGTGCTCTCTTCTGGAGCTCCTCGCGGACTTGTCCTCCAGGTCTGCTTGGATCTTTGTCGGCCGAGGACCATTGATGAATGGTGAGCACCAGCAGACCAAAGCACGCCCAGGCTGAACCCTGAACGAACTCGCCCTCCTCGTGGTTGCGTGACTGAGGCAAGAGCATTGTTCCTCTCCTGGCGCGTTTCTGGTACTGAAAGTTCACCGAGCGCATTAAAAATCTAAGAGGTTAAGGGGTGTCTCCTAACCACCCCAACCGGGGGCTCTGGTGTACATTTCCTGACCAGTCGTCCCGAAAAGGGAGATGATCAAACGACCTTAGAGAAACGTGGGAGAAACGTCACAAACGTCACAACTCACATTCGTTCGGCTTCCGTGTAGAGAAACGTCCCTGCGTGTCCAGCCTGTCTCTGCCGTAGCAGTTCCGTGGCGCGGGGGTCGGAGAGGATTGGTGGTGAAGCTGCGCTGGAGGGCAATGGATGCATGGCAGTGCCACGTCCGCTTGAGCCAGTGGTCACCAGCAGAAGCCTTCCATGGTGGTCTCAAAGAGGCACCCAGAAAACCCTGACTGATCAACCAAAGCGGTGAGGTCCAAGGGCAGTTTCAGAACGACACGAGATGAACAATTGAGGGTTGTAAAAAAGGGTCCCTTACATCCTGAATTTGGCCCTCCACACCCCCACATAGATTCTCTGTGAATCTGCAAATTTGACTCTTGTACAGTAACTCAATTTATGTAGGTCTCAAAGAGAATCTTAGAGGAAGGTCGCCTATCTCTATCCCAAAGAAAGGGTCTAAATATAAAGTCTCCGGCCACAACTTCAACGTGCGAAAGCTGACCAGGACGGTCCACTGGTGACGATCAAACGTTAGCATACTAATAGTGCGTTGGACCGTTTCTGTCGGGCACGCAAATTGATGCCGCTAGCAATTTCTACTCACCTCCTGCCAATCCGATTGAACCTCGGGACGAAAAAACAACTCACCACTTCCAGTCCAAACCTCGGATCTATCTATATATATATATATGTAGTGGATTCACAAATATCCTTCTTAGAACAACATCAAACAACACCTGTGGGCGTTTTGCGTCTTTCACTTCCCTTTCGGAACGGCCGTGAAAACTCACGGGACACGCGTACGGTGACTGACAGTGGCCACTGGTGGTTGAACAGAAACCAATGTGTCTGGGAAATCATAGATGTAGAACGATGTGTGTATAATTGTGTATATATATATACATAACTTAACCATACTTAATCTATCATGGACCCCTGAAACCCCTCTTTTTTAGAGTGCCAGTGTCTCTCTCTCTAACATTGGGGGTGTCTGTATGTGTCTGTGGGTACGCGGGCCTGAATCACTGTCAAGCAAGCTATGGCTGCCATGATCTTCACAACGCCCGGAAAAGCCTTCATGCCATGATCTTCCAAACTTCAAACGTCCCATTGTCCCAGTTCCTGGAATTGCCAAGATGTGCCTGGAATTCCACGGGAAAAGAAAAACAACATCTTCCCCTTCACAAGTTCATGATCCACACACACAATATAGCAACAATATAGCATGATACCCAAACAAAAAAACAACAACAACTCCCATCCGGTTGATCTCCCAAGCCATCCATCAGCGGATCTGAGTGGACTTCCTCACCAATATCCGCTGCTTTTCGCTCACCGAGAAGGGACCAATCGCATCCCGATCGCTTCCGCACTGCTCCGAGGCGTTCTTTCTTTTGCTTGTTACAACTGAGGCAAGATCGATGCCAAACGAAGGCAGGCAAGGAAAGCTCAAGATTGTTGAAGCACACCAAGCTCAAATATAGAAGTAAGATGAAGTAAGGTAGGCCGGTCAAACATCACATTCCAATACTGGAGACCAAAGCAAGTAGCTCTCACCCCACTCTCTCAAACTCATCAAACATCCGCAACCAACTCCGCTGTTCACGGTCGCCCGTTGGCAGGTTGTGAAGGCGGCAGCTTTGTGTGGCTTCGCGGGGATTGAACGTCGTTTCGGACTTCTTGGTGCTCAACCTGCTGGGAAGCGAACGACCAGTGAAACGTCAAGGCACAGGCGCCAGTGCTCGCAATGGCCATGGCACGCAGGAGGAGGTTCTGCTTCTCTGCCATTTTTGGCTACGTCAGCTTGAGCACTGCCAAACAAACTGTGATCAAAGCAACAGGTCAATTCCCGTCAAGGCGACAGCATCCACCCACCTGGGTTCTTCGCCAAAATTATCCATGTATGGAATGCTTACATTGAGTGCAAAAACACCCCGATGTAGGTAAGTACAGTTCCGCTGCCAAAATTTGGAATGACCGACCCAAACATTGTAAGTTTAAAGATCCGGATGACGCTTGACCTCGGACATGGCCTCAAAATGTCTCAATCAAGATCAACACTCGCTGCAAATGCACCTTCGTCTCAAGAAAGACTGATGAACGTACTGTGGCACAACCTCCAGCAACTTCAATGACAATGCAAATTACCGGCCAGATTGTATAGCTGTTGACCGATGGCTGAACTTTGGGCCTCAAAAAACTTCAAAGCTTGCTTCCATTGCCCGCCCTTCTCGGAGGCACTGATGGCCGCAGTGTAGCTGATGATGTTGGGCTCAACTTTCGCCTTAGGCATGGCCTTAAACAACATCAATGCTTGCTGCCATTGCCCGCTCTTCTCGCAGGCACTGATAACTGCACTGTAACTAATTACATTTGGCTGAACTTTTGCCTTAGGCATAGCCTCAAACAGCTTCAATGCATGCCTCCATTGCCCGCCCTTCTCACAGGCACTGATGGTTGCACTGTAACTGATGACATCTGCTTGAGCTGTTGCCTTAGGCATAGCCTCAAACAACTTCAATGCTTGCTTCCATTCCCCGCCCTTCTCGCAAACACTAATGGCCGCATTATAGCTGATGATGTTTGGCTGAATTTTTGTCCTTGGCATGGACACAAACAACTTCATTGCTAGCTGCCAGTCGCCTTCCTTCTCGCAGGCACTGATGGCCGCGCTGTAGCTAACGACCGATGGTTGAAGTGTTGCTTTGGGCATGGACTCAAACAACTTCAATGCTTGCTGCAATTGTCCTCCCTTTTCACAGGCACTCATGGCTGCATTGCAACTGATCACATCTGGCTTGACCTTCGCCTTGGGCATGGACTGAAAACACTTCAATGCTTGCTGCCATTGCCCGACCTTCTCACAGGCACTCATGGCCGCGTTGTAGCTGATGACACCTGGCTGAACTTTTGCCTTGGGCATCACCTCAAACAACTTCAATGCTCTTTGCAATTGCCCGCCCTTCTCACACGAACTGATGACTGCATTGTAGCTGATCACATCTGGCTGAACATTCGCCCTGGTCATGGCCTCAAACAACTGCAATGCTTGCTGCCATTGTCCGCCCTTCTCACAGGCACTTATGGCCGCATTGTAGCTGACTATGTTTGGCTGAACTTTTACCTTTGGCATGGCCTCGAACAATATCAATGCTTGCTCCAATTGCCCGCCCTTCTCACAGGAACTGATGGCCGCACTGTAGCTGATGACAGATGGATGAACTTTGACTTTCGACATCACCTCAAACAATTTCAATGCTTGTTGCCAGTGCCTACGCTTCTCACAAGCGCTGATGGCCGCGTTGTAGCTAATCACGTCTGGTTGAACCTTCGTCATGGGCATGGTCTCAAACAATATCAACAATGCGTGCTGCCATTGCCCGCCCTTCTCACAGGCACTGATGGCTGCATTGTAGCTGATGACATCTGGCTGAATGTTTGCCTTCGGCATGGTCTCAAACAACTTCAATGCGTCCTGCCACTGTTTGGCTCGTGCACAAGTTGATATGCAGACTACGTAATGGGACACTTCTAGCTTCAGGCCGGTACTTTTCCGGATTTCCTCCAAGACTGTATACACCAGTTTTGCTTCCTTCTGCTCGGATAGTATCCTCAACACCTGTCGAAGGATCTGCTTAGAGCTCCTCACTTCTGGGAACAGAATCTGTTCAGGTTCAGAGCACTCGAGATATCCTTCATCAGGGAAGATCAAAACGCAGACTTCCATAGAATGGATTCATCAGTGGGGTGCAAGACTTCCATAGATACGTTTTTGTCATCCTCACTATCCACAGATATGCTCAGCCGAACCCGTTCGGCCGTTGAAGGAGTTTGGCTGATCCGGTTGGTTCTTTTTCTCTAGATTCCCTAGTAGAACAATGGTTGTTCTGTAAGGCCCATGCAAAAACAAGTAAATCACTGGTCGGAAGCATAGGGATAGAATCGGATAGAAACTTTTGATGTCTGTTCATGTATAAAGGCTGTAGTAAAGGTATTGGGCAACATTGTGGTGCATTTAGAGGGTTTCACTTGCGTAGGGATTGGCATCTTCAGCGGCTGAACTTCAGCGGGGCAAAAACGTCGCTTGACTCCTATAACTCCGATACGGCCACTCCAACTCACCGGAAAGCGGAAAGCGTCGGCGATTAAGGCTCAGGCACCCAGGAATCAACAAAAGAGCAGCCAAAACTGCCAAAGATTAGACTCAAAGAGTCTCACCGTGTCTGCCATCCGACGTACGAAAAGTGCCCGATCGACCTGGACGTGGGGTCGACTGGACGTACGGTCTGTGGCAGGTGGAACAGACCTTTGACCTTTGCCCCCCCGGTCTGTAAAGAAACATATCGACCAGGTGTCCCCAATAGAGTTATAAATGTTTGTTCGCCATGTGGCTGGTGTCCTTTTTCGAAAAAGCTGGTGAAATTGATGGGGGCACGTGTCTCTTGCTTTTTCTTTGTTGGAGTACTTGAAGAGTCTAGAGGGTGATCTATATCAAAGACCCGGACACGCTTGGGACGTGGTGAGTTGTGTCATTGATGTGTTTAACGCCCAGACAACTTTTTAGTTTCATTAAACGAAAATCATAAAACACATTGAAACACTGCAGTAGACTTCGATTAGGGAGCTATGGCTATGGACAAATCAAAACAAAGCGGCTGCGGCTGCATTTGGAGGATTCATTGGAAGCTTCATTCACTACTTCACTACTTCACTTATTCTTTATCCGGTGAACAGTGTGATGTATTCATTCTGGTGCTTCATATGTGAGTTTGCCGGCTTTGCCCCAACATGATCTTTAAGGCTTGCTTCACCAGAAGTTTTCTTCAGAGGACCACCGAACATGAACATGAACAGAATACCAGCCAAGGTCGGTGTGGAGCTCCAGGTTTGGAGCCCACAGTCACATCCACCGACGACGTGAGACGACTGTCTTAGGGAGTCGGTGGAGTCGGTTCGTTCATCCGACGGAACGTTCGACCCGCTGATGACACTCAAGCATGGAACTCTTGGAGCCTAACCTTCGGTGAAGTGGCGTGTGCCTAGGGGGGTCCCTGATAGCCCGAAACTGCTTCAACCCTGAAGCAGTCCCCCGAGACCAGGTGCTCAGAGTCTAGTCACGTCGCCAACCCAACCCATAAGTCTCTTGACTCGGGCAAAACAAAGCACCACCTGCACAAGGGTTCGTATACCTTGAGATGTTTTAACACCTTAAGGGTTCGTATACTCCAAGGTGAACATTGGACTCTGAGATGTTCACCTTCACCGCGCCCGGTGAGACCACGAGCGGAACCGCCTGTTAGACCATGTTCCGAGTCCATGGAGTCCGAAGTGTCGCCCGGTGAGCGAAAACGGGGGTTCCAAGAGAAAGGAGCGGTCTGCACCGGTATAGACGTATGCCCTCTTAGAACAACAAACAAACACAACATAACACAACACATATTCGCCAGAAAGGGGGTTCACATGATTTAAACCATAAGGATCATATCTTCACCTTTTTTAAGCAAAACTCCGGGCCCCCTATTCAATTCATGCACCTTATATGCCAAGACCGGTGCCCGTGTCCATGGTCTGTTCCTCTGAGACCTCCCTCTCCCTTGGACAGGGAAAGAAGATGGCCCACTGGACAGTGGGTGACATGGTCTCTTTCTGCTATAATTGAGTCCTCCAGCCATGGGGTCTCTCTGGGGCCTTGGATTCTTGTCTTGCCTGGTCCAAGTCGGGTGTCGAAATGCGGGTTGTTCAGTTTTGACCCACAACTTAACTATATAGACAACCTATACATATAGACTTCCGGAATCTGGTGGATTCTATAGCATACAGTAAAAAGGGAAAACAACATTCTCTGAAGCCACCCTACATTTGGAGGAAATCACATGTCAAAAACAAAAATACATCGAATCAATTCAAAGCACCTGAAGTTCACTCTCCTATCTCTCCAGTTTCGTGCAGCTCTCCGCTTGAAAGCAGGTCTGCCATCAAGGGCTGCGGTTCCACCAGGGCGCGGTGGCAAACCACCGCGCTGAAGGGATGCATGGTGCATGGCAGTCCGCCCTTGAGCCAGTGGTGAAGAGCCTTGTATGCCAACTCATGCTGACTCTGGGGTGCTTTGAAGGAGAAACATCCAAAGAGAAAGAGCACAAGTGATGGCCATCCATTTGAGACCTCTGTGACCCGTAGGTGTGATTGCTTCCACCAAAAAGATCCAGATAGACAAGCTGGCATTGTTTGCTTTTTCTGCTTTCGCTCGTTTACTAATATAAGGATCTTATAGGTCTTGGCTGTTTTTGGTTCGGCAATTCCAAGATTAAAGATCTAAACTTATGAGAAACCATATTTTAATGTTGATTACTTTCCAAATACATGGCCCGGTCCAACAGATTCTCTCGCAAACAAGCAGTGGGCCCGGCCCAACAGATTCTCTCCACAAAACCTGTGGATGCTTTCTGAAAACACACTGAGGCCTATACCGATACCGGTACACAGCTGGCTTCGCCCTGTAACAGCGCAGGCACTGACTGCACGACACGCGCTAAGTCGGAAGCCGGAACCCGCACCGCGTCGTTCGTCCAAGAGACAACTATGAATGCCCTGGCGCCAGAGCTCCAAGGCCACCTCGGGCAAGTTTGGAAGCTCCTGGAGAGGTCAAGAACATTCAGGTCTCAGGTTTTGTTGTTTCTTTGTGAGGCTGGGAGGTTTTGGAATCACTACTCAATCGATGGTAGTTGATTCATTTCAGGGCGCCAATACCAATTTTTGTGTGGAACGTGTTTGGATTGAATCTTGCTTGGGGAGGAACACAGTGTTCATTGATGGTTTACATGGAGAGTCAGGGAAATTCCAAAAGTAAGTGGTAATTTGTTGACCTTTGGGTTGTTTGTACTCTTGCGGTCGATCAACCATTCTGAACGGCTTTGGACGTGTTTCTATGTGAGTTTGCTGCCAAACCCACGGCTGGAAGGTTTTGGGATTCAAATCGGTCCAACTGTTGTCTCCGGGTTCATTGGATTCCATCCACCACATCCTTCGACTCCAACGGCAGGTTGTTGGGGGCACTGGGTGTTGACGATAGATCAGTGCAAAAACACATGATCCGATGTAGCAATTTGTTGGACAACGTGTTGCAAAATTCCGAAGCATTGACCAAACCCAGCTGAAAACAAGATCTGTATCCCGGCTGAATTTGGGAACAAGACTTGTTTTTCCCTCACCTCGTTTCTTCGGACGCTGGCACTTCCCTATTCCTTTTGAACCCTATTCCTTCGCCCAACACCTGCTGAGAACATCTACTCTGGTGGTGGGGGGGTCCTCGGGACCTTCCAACTGAACATTCGCAATACACTCCATGTTTGGAGTATAGTGATATTTAGCCTATCCGGATGTTAGGATGTTACCCCCCTTTATCTGACCCAGCTATGTCGGTCTATATAAACAGTTCCAACCTCATGGATGGTCTGAAAATGGCCATTTGGGGGAGATACGTTCGGTTCCACCGAGCTCACCGAGCGAAGGCGCGAACGAAGCTTCGATCGTGTCCTGAGCGCTGGCGGGCAGCTGCAAGTAGCCGATCCTCGGTGAGAGAATCGGCTCGGACAGGAAGAACCAGAGGTTGAATGACTCGAACTAGACCAGTATCATAGGTCCCATAGGTACCCCAGGTGACGGGTCCTGGTTCAGGTCACTTATCCTCTCTTGGAAGACGGCAAGGGATTTGGTTGTGTTCAGAGATTGACCCCTCAAAACCAACGGGGCTGGAACATAGCTACATTGATGCCGGAAACCACCTCAGAGTAGGTAAATACTACGCCAGTCCCATGAGTGTGTGGGGATGTGTCTGCACGAGACTAGGGGTCTCCCATCCAACCACTGGGTTTCTTACACGTGTGTGCGTGTGTGTAAATACCGAAACCATCAAAAACCATCCACGTTACATGGAGGGGTCTTTATCATGAATCATGAGGTCAATGTCAATAACTATTCCAGTCCCATCACACGGCGGTACTCCGTCTTCAGATCCATCCGTCCCCTATAAGACGTGAAGTTTTTTTTGGTGCTCGTTTGCAATTCTTCAACCTGTTCCCAGATGCCATATTGTTCGGCTTGATGCACCAAAAAGAACACCTGTTTTGTTACTCGCAGACTTTATGGGTACCCAAACACTCCATGTATGCCATATATGCCTACATTGGAGTGGTTTTGGGGGTCAATGTAGGCATATATGGCAGTCCCATAGAGTGTCTGGGGTATGGTGGCTGGACGCCGTCGCGGCATAGGGGACCATGTCGTGAACGGTGGCCTCGTCTTCCGAAGCTCCAAAGACGACGTGTCCAAGGAGCCACCAGGCGGCTCCACCACCCACAGGCGGCTCCAAGGCAGAAAATCATCTCAGGCAAAACCAGGTACTCCTTTAGTACAGAAGGTACTGCTTTAAAACCAGGTGTTCCAAACTTTGGTACTCCTTTAGACCCGTCTAGATCTGCACCGAGAAGGGCGAGCGTCAGCTTCGCCTGGGAGGTGCTCCTACTTGTTGCCAGCCAGCTAAGGTATGAGGTGACCACTGTCCAGCTGGATCCGCCGCTTGTTTAGAGCCCCCAATGTTTCTTGCTGTGGGATGCTGACCTTCTCTGAGGAAGAACTATGGGATCCCTATCACCCGGAATCGGATATACATGCATTTGATTCGATTAGCGTCCTAGGAGGCGCACCAAACCAGCCGTTTTAATTCCATCTGAGGTCACCAACCTTGGCACCACCTTAGTTATATTTCACAGAACGCTCTGATGGAAGATCCTTGAGAGGAAGACTGATTTCCCACAATTTGTGGAAACAACTTTGGATGTAATCTTTCGCAGGAAGGCTACTGTCTCAAAAAGCTCTGATGGGAGTCTTTACTTTCACAGAGATTGGAACATTGTTTTTTACAGCGTTCATGTTCCCCTTACCAATGAAAACCTGCTTTGCAGCAGTTATTTTTGTGTATTCAAGGTTCTGCGGTGGGTTTTCTACCTTTCTTGGAAGATTCTACTTTCACGAAACAAAACCTGTGGTGGGAGTCTACCTTCTCACAAAAAATGATGGAAAGTTCTACTCTCACAGAGATGTTGGTCCACTCTTTCTCCAGTCTGAACATTTTGAATACTAACTGGAAATGATTTTTAGACGGCTACTTTTGTGAGATCCTTGTTGGAAGATTCTTCAAGAAGACTTTTTCTCAGAAACAGAAACCACTAATGAGATGGTAAGCCCTGAGCTCGAAGTCTGCTTTCTGAACAACCACTGATGAGGGCTACTATCACAAAGGTAGTGGGAAGCCATCTCTACAGTGATTAAATTTTTTCCACACTGAATATATATATATATATATAGTTGTGCTTCCAAAAGTCCCTGGTGGGACTGGTGGAAATTTTATACTTCACACAAATCCGTGATGGAAGCTTCTACAAAGGAAGGCTTTCCCAGGAATGTGTGAATTTGTTTTTGTGGAAAACTCTGCTTTGTTTGTGATAGTAAACCCTGAGGTGGAAGTCTAGTTTCTACAAACAAAGCTGATGGGAGCTTCTACTCTGACAGAGATGTGGGTCAACTCAGCGATTTCTCCAACGGTAAATGTTCCGTTAATGATTGGATATATGTGTTGCAACGTTCAACACAGATTTTTTGTGCGTCCAGAAGCCCTGGTGGGAAATATGTATTTCAAAAACATGTTACAAAGGAAGACTACTCTCCCAGAACTCACTTATGGGAACAGTATTCTTCAACAACTTTTGGTGGAAGACTCTGCTTTCACAAAAGGCTTGTGATGGTAAGCCCTGAGGTGGAAATTTGGTGTGAAAAAGAACACTGATGGAAGATTATACTTTCACAAAGATGTTGGGAAATTGCTTCTCCAGTGTTAATGTTCCCCCCAAGAAGAGATGGTACCTTCTTTTTTCACAGAGATGAGAACACTGTCTGTGTGTGGGGTTCCAATATCTTCCTCAAGAGGCAGCTAGACCTTCCTAACCCACCCCAAAACACCTTCTCAGGAGGTAGCTTTATATAGAATTATAAGGCTAGGATATGATTTCGGACGGCCACTTGAGATTTTACATGTTACATATCACGTACATATTTGTTCTTTGTCAATACATTACAGCAATTATCAGCAATTCATTTCTACTTTCAGACCTCTGCCGCCTGGGCAATGACTCGTCTGTCGTCCTTGGTCATTTACCACCGTTTTTTATTCGGTCGACAGCGGCGCCGGTTTCTCCCAGGCACTTGTGGATGAAATGAATCGAGCCGTAGCGGCGCCAAATGCCAATGTTCAGCAATTGCCTCGGACCGGACCTTTTTTCGTTGGATTGCTGAACATGGACCAGCTCGTATACAGGTATAGTCTCGTAGAGTCGCGTCTAAATACATTGGAGACCCCTGGCTGGACACCATGAGGGGGCTGTGTGTGTGTTGCGGAAGCATCTTAAAAAAGTCATGGGATCGAAAGAGGCACCCTTTTTCATGCTTTTGCTGTCCAGCAGCCTGGAAAAAAGTATTCACCAGGGAATCGAACCAGTTTAGGACAATCAAACGTCACCTCATCAGCAAAAACAGGACTTCCATCTACCCTTTTGCCAGTCTTTTTGTTGCGAGGTAGCACGATGGAAATAGATATTCCAACTCCAACTCCACTCGACACCATTTGAGCGATCGCCAACACCTAGGACCTACTCCATAAATAGATCCTCTCACATCAAGATTTGGGCACAAACCCTTGCCATTGGTTGTTGCTCATTTGTTGACGACCCCCATTTGGGGTAGTGAAAAGAAAAAGACACAACTATATACGGTATCAATTACAATGTCCCGAGATTATAACATCATATAACATCAAGTATAGTAACAAACTGCAATTCCCCGTGCCATTCCCAAACTTAAAAAGAACTATCCGTTTTGCTGTGATCGAATATATGTTAAAACAACCACTGTTCTCGTGGCTCTTTTACTCTTCTCCGTTTTGCTCCGTGTTGCTTCAGGTGTCGGTACGGCCCACCGGGCCAGCGGTGTAACCCAACAAAATGCCCGTCGGATGTGGTGGTCCCAGCAATTCCCAGTTTCGATACCAGGCATGCACTGGAGTTGCAGAACCGGCCCGCGTTTGGTCGGTTGAAGTCTTTTGGAACCCACTTGTTCCCATTCTTTTGTGGTCACTGAATCCACTGGGCAAATTGAGTTCAACAAAGGCCGCGGATGCAGAACATC